CCGAGTCGGTGAGTGGGAAGGGGGGGGGGGAAGAGGGGCAAGTGTGTGGAGTGCGGGGAGTGGGGGGAGTGGCGGAAGTGCACGGGCTCAGAGTGTGGGGGAGGGTGGCGGGGAGCTGGTACTGGGCACTTCCCAGGTGGAGGTGGAGGAGGGGCTGGCCACTGGTACTGCCATATGCCATCGGTTCCGGGAGGAGGGGGAGGGTGGGTGAAGAAGGGGAGGTATGGTGGGTGGGGTGCCTCTGCTTCTAGGCGCTGCACGAAGCAGAGGCCATGGGGATCTGCTGCAGAGGGCGGACGGCTGGCATCAGCTGACACCTCTGTTCACATTATTTACCCTCTCCTTTGCCTCCCTGCTCCCCTCCTCACTTGGCAGTGGAGAAGACAGCGGAGGAGGAGGCGGATCTGCAGCAGAGGGCGGAGGAGCGGCTGAGGGAGAAGAAGAGGCGGAAGGAGGAGCAGGAGGCGAATGTGCGGCGGAAAAAGATGTGAGTCTGGCGGGGGGATGCTGGGAGGGGAAGGGAGATGAAGGGAGGGAGAGGGAGATGAAGGGAGGGAGAGGGAGATGAAGGGAGGGAGAGGGAGATGAAGGGAGGGAGAGGGAGATGAAGGGAGGGAGAGGGAGATGAAGGGAGGGAGAGGGAGATGAAGGGAGGGAGAGGGAGATGAAGGGAGGGAGAGGGAGATGAAGGGAGGGAGAGGGAGATGAAGGGAGGGAGAGGGAGATGAAGGGAGGGAGAGGGAGATGAAGGGAGGGAGAGGGGGATGAAGGGAGGGAGAGGGAGATGAAGGGAGGGAGAGGGAGATGAAGGGAGGGAGAGGGAGATGAAGGGAGGGAGAGGGAGATGCAGGGAGGGAGAGGGAGATGAAGGGAGGGAGAGGGAGATGAAGGGAGGGAGAGGGAGATGAAGGGAGGGAGAGGGAGATGAAGGGAGGGAGAGGGAGATGAAGGGAGCAGGAGAAGGAGAGGCAGGGCAAGACGGCTGAGGGGCAAGGCGGCTGAGGGGCAAGGCGGCTGAGGGGGGGAAAGGGGAACAGACTGCTCTTATCCCTTCTCCTCACTCCTTCGCTGCCCCCACCCCTGCAGCTTTCGTCCCTCCTGCTCACGCCCTTGCTACTCCCTCCCTCCTGCTTCCGTCTCTTGTTCCTATCCCTCCCTCCACCAGGCTCAAGGCGTCGAAGGGCAAGGCGGCTGAGGGGGACGACAGCGGGGAGGAGGAGCAAGGGAGGGCAGTGGGGGCGAGGGAGGGAGAGGAGGAGGAGGAGGAGGAAGACGATGCGGGGTGGTATCGCAAGGAGGTTGGGGAGGAGCCCGATGACAGTGAGTGCCAAACTGCCTCATCATTGCCCCTCTTTCCATACGTTCCCCTCAACTCTAAAGCTTCACGGTGGCTTGGTCGGGCTTGGGGAGGAAACCAATTACAGTGAGTGTCCACGTGTGGTATGGGAGTTGAGGTCGCTGTCGGGTAGGGGGTCGGGTTTCTTGTGGGTCGAGGACAGAGCACCCACCGGACTGTTATCGTAAGGAGATTGGGGAGGAGCCCGATGACAGTGAGTGTGGACTTCCCTTCTCATGACCCCTCTTTACTCTTCTCTCAACTCAAGCGCATCTTGAAAACGCGGAGTGTATCGCGTTTGAGTCGACTCAAAAGCAAGCCCATCTTACCAACGTGAATTGGTCACTGGTGCAAGGAGATTGGGGAGGAACCCAATGATGGTGAGTGCCGACTGCCTGGTGCGAATCATAGGAGGTTATTCCACCGTGCTAATGAAAAATACCAACAACTCCCTCCCTCCCATTGCCTCTGCTCCCTCCCATTGCCTCTGCTCCCTCCCATTGCCTCTGCTTGCCCGGCTCTCTTGTCTTTCTCTCTGACAGAGGCATTAGTTGACTGATGCATTAGTTGACCGATGCATTAGTTGACAGAGGCATTAGTTGACAGAAGCATTAGTTGACAGAGGCATTAGTTGACAGAGGCATTAGTTGACCGAGGCATTAGTTGACAGAGGCATTAGTTGACAGAGGCATTAGTTGACAGAGGCATTAGTTGACAGAGGCATTAGTTGACAGAAGCATTAGTTGACAGAGGCATTAGTTGACAGAGGCATTAGTTGACAGAGGCATTATTTGACAGAGGCATTAGTTGACAGAGGCATTAGTTGACAGAGGCATTAGTTGACAGAGGCATTAGTTGACAGAGGCATTAGTTGACCGAGGCATTAGTTGACAGAGGCATTAGTTGACAGAGGCATTAGTTGACAGATGCATTAGTTGACAGAGGCATTAGTTGACAGAGGCATTAGTTGACAGAGGCATTAGTTGACAGAGGCATTAGTTGACAGATGCATTAGTTGACAGAGGCAGTAGTTGACAGAGGCATTTGTTGACAGAGGCATTAGTTGACAGAGGCATTAGTTGACCGAGGCATTTGTTGACCGAGGCATTAGTTGACAGAGGCATTAGTTGACCGAGGCATTAGTTGACCGAGGCATTAGTTGACAGAGGCATTAGTTGACCGAGCCATTAGTTGACCGAGGCATTAGTTGACGGAGGCATCTGTTGACCGAGGCATTAGTTGACAGAGGCATTAGTTGACCGAGGCATTAGTTGACCGAGGCATTAGTTGACCGAGCCATTAGTTGACCGAGGCATTAGTTGACCGAGGCATTAGTTGACCGAGGCATTAGTTGACAGAGGCATTAGTTGACAGAGGCATTAGTTGTCAGAGGCATTCATAACAGCCATCCGACTTTCTCTCCGCCAGGTCAGCCAGCTCAGCTATTCCGCTTGTCATGCCCACAACAGCCTGTCAAAACTTCATTGTAAACTCTTCTCCCTGCGTACTCATTCTTGCTCCTTCCCCCCCCCTTTTTCCCACTCCCCCTCCCACCTCTCCTCTGTTCCAGCCTTTGTGGGGGGAGGGTATGAGGGCAGTAGAGGAGCGAGGGAAGGCAGAGGTAGAGGGAGAGGGTTTGGGCGAGGCAGGGGGAGAGGAGGGGGGAGGGGCTGGGGTCGTGGGGACGGGAGCAGAGGGCGAGGAGCAGGGGGGAGAGGAGGAAGAGGAGAACGAGGGGGAGGAGGGGGAGGAGGGTGGTCGCCTTCGGGCCGTGGAGGGCGGAGGGGAGGACGAGGGGGGTTGAGGGGAAGGGGTAGGGGGAGGTACTAGGATGGTGTGTTCTAGGATGGTGCTGTATGCCTACTTTTGAGGGTGTCTAACCATGCAAACCGCACAAAAACCATGTGGCGGAAAGAAAAACGAGTAACACGGCTACTGTACTCCCTGCCAGCGCAAAAAAAAAAAAAAAACATCATTCTCTTGAGCAGGCTAGCAGCGCAGTCCCAACTATCAAACAGTGAAATTGATGAATAGAGAGAGAGAGTACACAAACATATACCTAACTGTTGTACTCTCTAGAAGATGACCCTATACAGTCTATACAAGCATGATAACTAAACATGTTTGACACACCCCCTGGACTGCATAGGGGAATGTTCTAGACAAGCAGCTCAGGGTGGCACTACTAGTCCAGCCTCTGAGACAAGGGTCTAAAAGACCAGTCAGAAGGAGTACAGGCAAGGCAAGAACTAGTACAGGGCGGCACTACTAGTCCAACCACTGTAAGAGGACACAAGTCCAGTCTGAGTGTACACACAGATATATAGGACAGTACAGAGTCAAGGCCCGAGTAAGTGAGAGACTACAGGAACCAGACCAAGCTGTACACAGTGCCGCTGATGATCTTTAGGCGCAAGCGCCTTCGTAAAGATATCAGCTGTGTTGGCACCGGAGGCTAAGTGTACTACGCGAGCCTGGCGACGCTGCTGTAGCTCACGCAGGAGGAAGTACCGCAGCTGGATGTGCTTCGCTCTGCCCTCGAGTCGAGGCTCCTGACACAGGAGGATCATGGCCCTGTTGTCAGCGTACAGGACCGGGGCAGAGCTAGGCCGCTCACCTAAGTCAGTGAGCAAGAAGGTCAGCCAGCGGAGCTCCTGTGCCGCCATGGCACCGGCGTAGATCTCGGCCTCACAGCTGGACTGGGCAACAGACGAAGAGCGGGTAGCTCTCCACGAGACAGCACCTGAACCAAGGCTAAAGCAGTAGCCCTGGGAAGACCTGAGCGTCTCGGCGTCGTCTGCCCAAGAAGCGTCTGTGTGTCCAGTAAGGACCACTGGCCTGCGTCCGCCTAGCACTAACCCCATGCCCGATGTACTTGCAAGATAACGCAAAACCCTCTTAGCGGCAGACCAGTGCTGAGGTCGGTGCCTGCCTGTGGCCACGAAACGAGCCAGGATGCTGAGAGGGTATGCGAGATCTGGGCGAGTGCAAGTCATCAGGTACATGAGGCAACCCACTAGCTCAGCGTAAGGACCACTGGGATCTACCGACTCCTCAGGAACTGGAGCGGAGAGTCTGTGGTCCAGAGGAAGAGGGGTGGGCTGTGCGGAGGAGAACTGAAGGCCGAACCTCTGAAGGACCTGGCGCACCAAGTGTGACTGAGTCAGGGTGATGGTGCGCGCGGCTCTGTCCCTGGAGATCTGCAAGCCAAGGTAACGGCGCAGCTCTCCAAGGTCAGTGCAGGTGTGTCTCTTCAGCAGCTCTGCCTTCACGGAGGCCAGTGCGTCCCTGTCAGCAGTGGCAAAGACCAGGTCGTCTACGTAGACGAGGATGTAGAACGGAGTCGAGCCAGCACGAACGAAGAGCGAGGGGTCTGCAGAGGACGGAAAGAACTGCAGGTCAGCAAGGGTAGCACGCAAAGTGTCGTGCCACTCACGAGGCGCCTGGCGCAGGCCGTAGACTGGCCGCCGCAGAAGCCACTGGGTCCCAGGGGGGAAGGTGCCAGTAAAGCCCTGAGGGCGACGCAGGTAGACCTGCTCGTGAAGGCTGCCCTGAAGAAAGGCAGTGGAGAAGTCGAGGGAGTGAAGCTCGTAGTCACGCTGAGCCGCTACGTGTAGCAGCACCCGAAGAGTAGTCATCTTCGGGGTAGGAGCGAAAGTCTGAAAGAAGTCCACCCCCTCGCGCTGACTGAAGCCTCTAGCCACGTAGCGCGCCTTGAACACAGGCGGCTCTCCAGGAGGGCGCTTCACCTTGAAGAGCCAACGGCCATCGACCACGTTCACCCCAGGTGGGGGAACTGCGTCGACGAAGGTGCCGGTGGATCTCCAAGATGCCATCTCCTGCTCCATGGCAGCTATCCACTGAGAGGCCCAGGGTCCCGAAACCGCCTCAGCGTAAGTACGAGGGGTCGGGATGTCGAAAGCGTCTGGGTCACCCTCAGGGACTAGCAGCATGGAACAGAGATGGGGAGCAGCCTCGGACAGGAAAGCAAGCTCAAACTGGCGGTCCTCCAGGACGTCACTGCCGAGGGCAGGAGCACCCCCGACAGACGGAGGACAGGCAGGGTGAGAGACCAGAGCGGTGGCGTAGTCAAGGCGGCGGGTAGAGGCGAAGTCAGCGACCGCAGCGACGAGGGCGTCAAGACTCGACACGGGAACAGACGGGTCGGTAACGAGAGAGGCAAGGACCCGAGGAACAAGAGGACGAGCGGCACGAAAGGAGTCGGACAGAGGAGGAGACGCAACGACAAGAGAAGACGGAGGAGGAGACGGGAGGAGGGGAGGTCGAGACGCGTGGGAACGGAGCAACATAGGGTGAGAGCGCGGGACAGGGGAGACAGGACGAGCACGAGAGGGGCGGCGAGACCAGACGTGTGAGGGCGGCGTCGGGTCAGGAGACAGAGGAGGGGACACAGGAGGGGAACGAGGGGGAAGACGAGCCGGGGACGAGTCTGGCAGAGGGAACACGGGGCCGTAGACGGGAAGAGGGGGAGACGGCAGGAGAGGAACAGGCGCAGGGTCAGGAGACGGAAGGCCGAGCAGACGGAGGGCGGACACAGGCGGGGACTGCTGCTGCGGCGGCACAACACCAACACCAGGGCCACAAGCTGCGCGACGGCTACCTCCCGAACCCTCCACACCTGCACCCCCAGAAGGGACACCCCCAGAGTCCACAAACGGCGGCAGCGACGACAGCGGCGGCGGCGGCGGCGGCTGCAGCGACGGCTGCGACGGCGGCGGCGGCGGAGACGACGGCTGCAACGGCGGCGGCGGTGGAGACGACGGCTGCAGCAGCTGCGGCGACGGCGGCTGCGGAGGCGGTGGAGGAGGAGACACCGGGGGAGGGACAGACGGCGAGGACTGCGCCGGAGGACTACCAGAGGCAGAAGACTCATCGACCGGGACGACCGACGGGAGGGGGGTGACGTGAGACACACCAGAGGGGGCCGGACGGGGGGGCGGGGGGGGGGAGGGGCAGGGACCACCAGGGAGGGAGGAACCAGGAAAAGGGGGGGAGTAACCGGGGGACCACGGTGGGGAAAGCGGCGGTAGAAGGAGACGGACTCGTCAAAGGTGACGTCGCGAGAGTGAAAGAAGCGGTGAGACGGCGGGTGGTAGAAGTGCCAGTCGGACGCGTCAAGGGGGAAACCGAGGAAGACGCAGGGGAGGGTGCGGGCAGTGAGCTTGTCCGTGCCAGAGGCACGAACGTGAGCAAGGCAGCCCCAGACGCGGAACGCAGACGCGTCACCAGGGGACCCGGTCCACAGAAGGGTCGGCGAAACCTGCGGCCGCTGGGGGTGCGGCCACAGGTTAAGCTGGTGAGCGGCGTAGCGCACGGCGAACGGCCACAGAAAATGGGGTGCACCGGCGTGGATCATGGAGGTGCGAGCCACCTCCATGACCAAACCGATGCGTCGCTCAGCGACCCCATTCTGCTGCGGGGAGTCCGGCAGGGTAAACGTCTGGGTGATGCCCTCCGCACGACAGAAGCGACCAAGGACACCTGAGGCAAACTCGCCACCCCGGTCGGAGTGAAGGCGCAAGGCAGGGAGACCGCGGTGGACACAAGCAGAGACAAGCCAGGGGATGAGAACGTCAGGCACGTCGGCCTTCCGCTCCAGGGGGAAGACGGTGGTGTAGCGCGTGAAGTCGTCGACAAGCACTAGGAAGAAGCGCTCGCGACGCGGCCCATGGACCGGGGCTGGGCCCCAGACGTCCATGTGCAGAGTCTGCAGTGGTGCGGTGGTAGGGGGAAAAGAGGAGGAGTGAGGGGCACGGCGGAGCCGGCCCTCGACACAAGGCGTGCACGGTGGGGCGGGGGAGGAGGGAAACTCGGGGAACGAACCGGGGAGACCAAGGACGAGACCGTGCTGGGACATGTGACGCAGACGTGGGAGTGCAGGGTGACCAAGGCGGTGGTGCCAAAGGAGAGTCGGGTGAGTGAGGGACCGACAGGAGCACGCGGCTGCAACCTGGGTGGACGCAGCTACCGGGGGGGAAGACCCAACCGGGGACGGCGCGGTGTCAAGTGTGAACAGGCCGGACACCGGGTCCCGGGGGAAAGTGGTAAGGGGGGCACCAGAGGCGGCCTCGGTACAGACAGCATACCGCTCGTGACCAGGGAACGTAGTGGTGACGCCAAGGTCCTGGAGGCAGCCGACACCAACTAGGTTCCTGGAGAACGAGGGGATATGCAGACCTGTGAGAGTGCCCGAAGGAACCGCCGGACAGGGAAGGGAGGTGGAACTGCGGGCAACGACGGGACCACCGGAGGGGTCAGCAAGAGTAACTGCAGCGGGAACAGGCAGCGGCGTCAGCGTCGTGGAGTCGCGGAAGAAACACCGGGAGGCGCCAGAGTCCAAGGTGAAGGAAAGCGCAGCAGTCGCGCGAGGCAGCAGTGAAGCGGTGGAAGCACCAAGGCTAAGCAAAGCAGGAGATCCTACGCCTGACGCAGCAGGGGAGTCTACGCTAGGCACCGCTACACTAGGCAACACGGGGTAATAAGAGGGAAGCACACTAGAGTCATCAGCAAACATCACATGCAAGGCCGCTACAATGGCATCCATGTCCAAGTCAAAAATCCTAATGCTACGCCTAAGCAAGCTGTGCCAGTCCGGGAGGTCGGGCGCCGGGCCAAAGCGCTGGCGGAACAGGTCGTCCAGGCGACGAAAACAGCGAGGAGTAGAATGACCGATCTTACCGCAAACGAAGCCGCGGCGAGGACCGGTCTGGATCTGGTACTGACAGGGCCCGCCTCCAGAACCACCACCCGGTGCACCACCACGCGCACGACCACCACCAGCTCCAGGCCACCCAGGTGGGAGAGTACTCGCCTGCCTCGTCTGCGGCGGCTGCTGCGGCTGCTGCGAAGGCTGCGGCTGCGGCGACTGCTGCTGCTGCGGCTGCTGCAACTGTGGAGGCAGCGGGGCAGCT